GCTGATTTGTGATTCAAATTTGCCTAGATCATCTTGGAAGTCTGGAGCAAACTGAAATAAAAATTATCCTGAGATCCTTAAAATTGGGCATTTAATTGGGCTTGGCATGTGGCTCAGGATGACCAAAGTGGTTACCATTCTTCAGAACTCTAGGGAGGGAGCCTATTCAAGTGGGGGTCCCTGAGACCATCACACCTGGGCTATTCCTGTCTCTGGTGGTCAGTCTCCATGTGTGCTGGCTTTGTGCCCCTGGAGCTTATGCAGTCAGCATACCTAGTTGGTCATTTGCTCTAGTCAATTTAAATGTTACAAAGAGATGAAAAGTATCTTAAAACTGATTTCATTCATTCTTTCTTCAGAAATGTCCGCTCGAGATATGGTGAATCCACCAAAACCCTATAAAGAGGTATTTGAAGCAGCACAGGCAGGCCACGATCTGTATATTGTATCTCACAATGATTATTTTGCGGGTAAGTCTCCTCCAGTGTAAAACAGGCCTGCGAATATGACATCCAGACTTGTGAAGAGGGATAGGGAGATGATGGACTTAAAGATGAAATGCCTGGTTATGCTATAGACTAATTCTAGTAATGCACGCTAAGTCACTTCAGTCCTGTCCGACTCTGTGACCCTATGGACTGGGGCCTGCCAAGCTCCTCTGTCCATGGAGATTCTCCAGGCAAGAAGACCGGAGTGAGATGCCTTGCCCCCCTCTAGGGAATCTTCCGACCCAGGGATCAAACCCGCATCTCATTATGTCTCCTGCATTGGCAGGTGAGTACTTGACCTATATTGACATCTGGGAAGCCCAGCTTACAAGGTTACAAACCCTGATATCTGGGAACATATACCCTTATAAAATGTATGAAAGTATATATCATTAAAACAACAAAAAGAAGAAGTTAAGATTAAATGCTAGGTAGTCTAATCTTGTGTGAGTGGATTTAGGCTTAAAAAATACCATTTTTAATATCAAGATTATTCTAAGTGCTTCACTTCATATAAGGAATATTAGTTACTCGTCAAGTGCAGTAATTTTCGAATCATCAAGTTTAAGGTATTGCTTACCATCTATTATCTTTTAGACCTTGAATACTTTACTTATCATCATCTATTTTAAATTTCTTAAATAGGTAGGGATAATAATATTGTGTGGATGAAGTGAGTGCCTGCAAAATGCCAAGCATGGTGTCTGGAACATAGTTAGGGCTCAGTAACTATTATTATTAGTAGTAATAGTAGTGTTAGTATTACGTAATGTGACTAAAAGTAGCTTATTATTAGAACTGGGGCTTCCCAGGTGGCAATACTGGTAAAGAACCTGCCTGCCAGTGCTGGAGACATAAGAGACGTGGGTTTGATCCCTGGGTCAGGAAGATCCCCTGGAGGAGGAAATGGCAACCCACTCCAGTATTCTTGCCTGGAGAATCCCATGGATGGAGGAGCCTGGTGGGCCCCAGTCCACATGGTCACAAAGAGGCAGACACGACTGAAGCGACTTAGCTTGCATTAGGAGAATTATTCTATAGCATAACCAAAAGGCATTGGATGTTTAAGTGCTGTGAAGTACAACTTAATTGTTGACCTGTGTGAGCTAAGTAGAATTTTAACAGAGGATTGAGAATTAGACTGTAATACACGTCCTGAGAATGGATAAGGGCATGGCTACCCAGTCCAGTATTCCTGCCTGGGAAATCCCATGGACAGAGGAGCGTGGTGGGCTCCAGTCCAAGGGTCTGCAAAGAGGGGAACACGACTGAGCGACTGGGCACAGTCTCCTGAGAGAGCTGCTGGGTTGCGCCCGATTCACTAGCTGGTCAGCCTCCCCCGGCTCTGTCTTACTTTTCTCCTCACCGCCCCTCCGGTCCCCTTCCTCCTGAACCCCGCCGACAGCCGGGGCTGTCTCCCAGGCGCTCCACTCCACGCGCGGCTTCTCTTCGTCTCTGCGGGTCGTTACACGGACCCCGGGCCCTGGGGGGGCTCCCCCGTCACGCGCCCCGGATCCCGACCCTGGGGGGGCTCCCCCGTCACGCGCCCCGGACCCGGGCCCTGGGTGGGCTCCCCCGTCACGCGCCCCGGACCCGGGCCCTGGGTGGGCTCCCCCGTCACGCGCCCCGGACCCGGGCCCCTGGTGGGCTCTATCTTCACGCGCTCCGGACCCGGGCCCCTGGTGGGCTCTATCTTCACGCACTCCGGACCCGGGCCCTGGGTGGGCTCCGCCGTCACGCGCCCCGGACCCGGGCCCTGGGTGGGCTCCCCCGTCAGGCGCCCCGGACCCGGGCCCTGGGTGGGCTCCGCCGTCAGGCGCCCCGGACCCGGATCCTGGGTGGGCTCCGCCCGCCCCGCCTCCCGGCCTCCGAAGGCTTCTCTCCCGCCTGCTGCGCCCCTGCTCCCCCCGCCCTCGCTCCTTTTCCGCCCGCTAGGCGTTGTGTCTTTCTGTCTTTTTGTCTTCCCTCTCTCCATTTCTTGTGAAAATATTTTATTCCTTTTTGGAAAAAGTTTAGCATGGATAGCACAGTCTAATCCAATGCCGTTTAACTGTTTTAAAAAGAACCGTATCAATGAATATATATAGAGACAACCTTTTCGGAGACATCTAAAATACCTTTAGCAGTTTGAGGAAAATGAGTCTAGTTTTAAAAACATTTAATTATTTACTTATAATGTCTATAAGTTTGCTTATGTGTTAGTTTCTGGCGTACAGCAAGTGACTCAGTTATACACATGCGTGTTCTTTTCCATTATGTCTTATTATAGGATATTGAGTATTCTTCCCAGTGCTGTACAGTAGGGCCTTTTTGTTTATCCATAATATATATATTATTTTCATCTGCTAGTCCCATGCTCTCCAACTTTTTTTTCTTATATTTAGAAAAGCTCTCATGGACTATAACATGGCTGAAATTATTTTTATTTTTTGATTTTTATAAAAGTTTCACTAGCCTCTTGAAAANATTTAGATTACTACTAAAGTTATATTTTCTTTTATAAAATGCAGGCTGCATACGGACTTCCTTTTCAGTCCAGTGGTTAAGATTCCACTGCAAGGGGTGTGGGTTTGAGCCCATCTCAGGGGGCTAAGATCCCACATACCTCGAAGAGTGGCCAAAAAAATTAAAAAAAAAATACAGGCTACATAGAAATACATAAAATACAAAGAAAATCTAAAATCCGCAGTCACAGATGATACTTTGATTTATGTTTTTCTTTGCCGTTTAGAGGGGAGTTAATGTGTTCATGCTTGTCTCTTCAGGTCACTTGCCAACCTTGTATTTTTCAGCGTTAGAGAAGTGCACTGGTTTGAACACAGTTTGCTTCTTTAGGACCCAGCCCTCGATTTCTGTAGCTCTCACTCTTGAGCCGGGCTGCCCCCCTGAACCGCGCCCAGCCTGCCCTTGTGCCCGCTGTGTGTGAGACTGCCATCCCCGGCATCCTCCGCACTGACGAGCTTTGCCTGTCTTTAGGTTTTGCTCAACTGAGAGACGAATTGTGACTGCATGCTATTGCTTTTGCTTACCTCATTTGTGTTACGAGTGAGACTGAATAGCTTTTTCCTTATCATTTCATAACCTCTTGTGTGCATGCATGCTCAGTCATGTCTGACTCTTTGCAACTCCGTGGACTGTAGCCTGCCAAGCTCCTCTGTCCAGTAACCTTTTAGCTCACCTCTAGTTTCAGTCTTACTTTCTTACCTATAAATAGAGAACTAATACCAGATCATACTTGAAAAAAATACAGCATTAGGTCTTGAAGACCTCCCTGCTGGGTTCTCAGGCCTCAATCACCCTTAGAATGTGTGCGGTAAGCATTATAATGAAATGTGAGGGTTGTTATACAAATCTCACTGAGAGCGACTCTAAAATACCAGCCTCTCAGGTCTTCCACGGTGGTCCAGGCTAAGACTTGGGGCTCCCTCTGCAGGAGCTGGGGGGGTGGGGGGATGGGGAGGGAAACAGTAAAAGTAAAAGACCAACCTCTCAGATCTTAGCAGAGCGCAAAGCACCACTGGAGGCCCAAAGCCCCGCAGCACTTCCCCTGATCTTCAGAATCTCTTTAACATTGATGGGGCCTGAATTTTTCATTTGTATGTCTTTCTCTACATCATTTTTCTACTTCCTGAGTATCTACACGAGGAACTCTTGCTCCACCGTCTCCCAGCTCTCATGGGAGAGTGCCTTTGTCATCTTTCGCCAAATCTGGAGTTTCCGGCACTGTTACAATGTCACTCTTTCTCCCACTGGCATATTCCTTGTTACTGAGAACATCATGTGCCTCTTGCATAAAGCTGTGTTGCTTAAGTCAGAAGTCTTCCCTTTTCTTTTCTTAGGAGAAGCAAAGAACCGGAAGTATAACCCATCAAGTTTTCATAGATTTAACTTGTATGGGATCCCAACACCACATTTTAATGATGGACGAAACATGGCAAAAACTTTACATTGGCTTCATGAACTACAAATGTAAGTATGTTGTGTCTTGGAACAAGTGTTAGATAAATGGCATACAGACTTAAAAGTTAATTAAATTTGTTTTTTTTAAGAGGTAATGCATTGACATGGTTCAAACATAAAAATAATATAAAAAGATACACAGTGATGTGTCTTCTAAACTATCCAGTTCCCCCAGGGATCACCATGATACTGGTTTTTCATTTGTTTGTTTTTGACCATGTGGCTTGCAGGACCTGATTCCCCCACCAGGGATTGAACCTAGGCCCCTTGCTGTGGAAGCACAGAGTTCTAACCACTGAACAGGCAGAGAATTCCTTGTGTGTGATTCTGAAGTTATTTCATGTCTTTTCATCTGATCGAGGACTTCCTTGGTGGCTCAGATGGTAAAGCGTCTGCCTACAATGCGGGAGACCCTGGTTCAATCCCTGAGTTGGGAAGATCTCCTGGAGAAGGAAATGGCAGCCCACTCCAGTATTCCTGCCTAGAGAATCCCATGGATGGAGGAGTCTGATAGGCTACAGTCCATGGGGTCACAAAGAGTTGGACATGACTCAGTGACTTCACTTATACTTTCAGCCGATCAGAAGACATACATGAATTGTTTTTTATCCATGGGACCCACCCTGCTACGTTCCTTAAAGATCGTGGACTTTTGGGTAGATTGTCTCTACAATGATGACATCGTGCAATTCACGTGTCATCTATCATTCAACTTTCTTTAGTAGTTAGTTGGGCACCTGAGCACCTGACTTAACTCTTACAAACTGTGACCTGTTTACACCTGCATTCTACACTTGACTACTTTCCTAGGATATTAAAATAAGTTTCCTTAGTTTTTCATTTCTTGTCTTATATCTAAGGCAACAAAGTAAAATCCTCTATTTCCTACTATGCTGAAAAAAATCAGAGGATTGAAAATGCTGGTGTAGTGGGTTGAATAGTGGCCTTCAAAGATGTCCACGTTCTAATTCCAAGAACCTGTGATGCTTATCTTATATGGGAAGAGGGTCCTTGTAAATGCAGCGCAGTGCAAGATCTTGAGATGGAGAGATCATTTTGGATGATCCGTGCATGTGTGCTAAGTCGCTTCAGCTGTGTCTGACTCTTTGCAGGCTCCTGTGTCCGTGAGGTTCTCCAGGCAAGAATATTGGAGTGGGCTGCCACGCCCTCTTCCAGGGGCTCTTCCCCACCCAGGGACGGAACCCATGTCTCCTGTCTCCTGCATTGGCAGGCGGCTTCTGTGCCACTGGCGCCACCTGGGAAGCCCCTGGATGATCTGGGTGGGGCCAAAATCCAGTAGCGAGTGTCCTAATAAGGGAAAGGCTGAGGGAGGTGTAAGACAGAAGAAGAGAAGACATGTGGAGAAGGCCATCAGGTGAAGATGGCAGAGGCGGGAATGATGTGGTGTCGAGCAAGGAAGGCCAGAAATGCAGCGGCCTCCAGATGTTGGAGGAAGCGATGAACAGGGTCTCCCCAGAGCCTTCAGGGGGCATGTGGCCTGGCTGTCACCGCGGTCTCAGACTTCTGGTCTCTAAATGTATTCTGTGGGAGAATACGTTTCTACTGTTTTAAGCCACAAGCTTGTGCTAATTTGTCCTTGCAACCCCAGGAAATGAACATCTGGGACCTGCATTTCTATACATTCAGTGGTGGGAGTGGATTTGTTTTGCCCTCTACCCTCTGTTTTTAAAAAGTTTTTTCATTTGTAATTTTTTAAGATTAATTTTTAGCAGTGCATTGTTGACGTACAGTGTTGTGTGAGTTTCGGGTGAACAGCAGGGTGAATCCGTTATAGACCCACGCACATGTAGATTCCTGTTTCTGCGAGGTCCTTTTCCCGAACAGGTCATCAGCGAGGACCGGGCGGAGCTCCCTGTGCTGAAGAGTAGGCCTTCTTAATCATCTGGTTTATAGACGGTGGTGTCTGGATGCCAGTCCCAGTTTTCCAGTTTACCCGCTGCTTTCCCCCTGGTGACCTTCAGTTTGTTTTCTCCATCTGCTTCCCAGGTGGCGCTAGTGGTGAAGAAAGTGAAAATGAAAGTCACTCAGTCTGTCCGACTCTTTGCAACCCCATGGACTATACAGTCCATGGAATTCTCCAGGCCAGAACACTGGAGTGGGTATAGAACCTGCCTACAAATGCAGGAGACGTAAGAAACATGGCCTCGATCCCTGGATCAGGAAGATCCCCTGGAGGAAGCCCTGGCAACCCACTCCAGTATTCTTGCCTGGAGAATCCCATGGACACAGGATCCAGCGAGCTGCCGTCCATGGGGTCACGAAGAGTCAGACACGACTGAGGTAAGCTAGCACACAAGCTACATCTGTGACGCCGCTTCTGTTTTGTGAATAAGTTCATTTGTACCAGGTTTCGAGCCTCTCTGCCCTCTTTAAAGAATACACTGCCCTCCTCCAAATTTCCACGTGCCGCATCAGGCATACATGTTTGCTTCCCCCAGGCACCAATATGCCTTGCTCACTTGCTTGTCTGAGAGCTGAGATGGCAGCTCCCAGTTATAGAGGCAAAGTGCTAAGTACTTTATATATGATTACTTTGATCCTGCCTACAGCAACTCTAGGAGGTAGCCGTACTGTAATTCTTAGCCTTTCCATTTTACACATGAAGAAACTGAGGTACAGAGAAGTTAAGCCCTGTGCCTGAGATCACACAGGTCAGTGCTAGGGGTCGGGCTGAAACCCAGCAGTGTCTCTCCAGAGGCCGCCCTTAGCACTGCACCAAGGCTGTAGGCACTGACTCTGTGATCACAGGCTGAAACCGGGATTTCCACTCTTCTTCCACTCCCTTATTATTTAATATATGAATTTTTGATATTTGAATTATTCAAAGCAATAATGGTAGAGCACAAAGAGAAGAAATCCTTTCCTGGGTAGCCTTTCCCTTCTCCAGGGGATCTTCCTGAGCCACAGATCGAACCCTGGTCTCCCACATGGCAGGCCTCCTTTACCACCTGAACCACCAGGGAAGCCCTTCCATATTTTAGAAAAACTATAGGAGACAGTGTTTTTTTTTGTTTTTTTTTTTCTTTAGGATATAGAAGAGCTCCTAAAACAAACATTCATTAATTTATCACTATTAAAGTGGTGAAAACATACGTAAAGGAAAACATGAAGAAATTATTTAAATACTTGACTAGATCAGTTCAGTCAGTTCAGTTCAGTCACTCAGTTGTGTCTGACTCTGCAACCCCATGAACTGCAGCACGCCAGGCCTCCCTGTCTATCACCACCTCCCGGAGTTTACCCAAACTCATGTCCATTGAGTCAGTGATGCCATCCAACCATCTCTTCCTCTGTTGTCCCCTTCTCCTCCTGCCTTCAATCTTTCCCAGCATCAGGATCTTTTCAGTGAGTCAGTTCTTTGCATCAGGTGGCCAAAGTATTGGAGTTTCAGCTTCAGCATCAGTCCTTCCAATGAACACCCAGGACTGATCTCCTTTAGGATGGACTGGTTGGATCTCCTTGCAGTCCAAGGGATTCTCAAGAGTCTTCTCCAACACCAGTTCCAAAGCATCAATTCTTTGGCGCTCAGCTTTCTTTATGGTCCAACTCTCACATCCATACATGAGTACTGGAAAAATGATAATTTTGGCTATATGGACCTTTGTCTGTAAAGTAATGTCTCTGCTTTTTAATATGCTGTCTAGGTTGGTCATAGCTTTTCTTGCAAGGAGTAAGTGTCTTTTAATTTCATGGCTGCAGTCACCATCTGATTTTGGAGCCCAAGAAAATAAAGTCTCTCACATTGTTTCCCCATCTATTTGCCATGAAGTAATGGGACCGGATGTCATCATCTTAGTTTTCTGAATGTTGAGCTTTAGGCTTCTCCGGTAGCTCAGGCGGTAAAGCGTTCTACCTGAATGCTGAGCTTTAAGCCAGCTTTTTCACTCTCCTCTTTCACTTTCATCAAGAGGCTCTTTAATTCTTCTTTGCTTTGTGCCATAAGGGTGGTGTCATTTGCATATCTGAAGTTATTGCTATTTCTCCCAGCAATCTTGATTCCAGCTTGTGCTTGGAATTAAGCATATTCATTTACAGCTCATTTTTTTGGTTTCTATTTTCTTCTTTTTTGTCTTATTTATTTTTAATTGAAGTATAGAAAGAAAATAAGTGAAGGCACTCAGTCGTGTCTGACTCTTTGCGACCCCATGGACCACCCCACCGGCTTCTCCGTCCATGGGGTTCTCCAGGCAAGGATACTGGAGTGGGCTGCCATTTCCTTCTCCAGGGGATCTTCCTGACCCAGGGATCGAGCCTGGGTCTCCTGCAATGCAGGCACAGCCACCGGGGAAGTGCAGCTGAAGTCTGGTTGGTTTATGATGTTGTGTTAATTTCAGGTACTCAACAAGGGGTTCAGTTATACATAAATATATATATATAAAATATATAGTTTTTCAGATTCTTTTCCATTGTCAGTTATTAGAAGATATGGAATATAGTTCCCTGTGCTAAACAGGGCCTACTGTATAGCAAAGGGAACTATATTACCTGTTATATATACTGGTTATCTATTTTATATATAGTATGTAGTATGTATATGTCAATCCCAAATTCCTAATTTATACCTCCGTTCCCCTTTGGCAACTGTTAAGCTTGTCTTCTATGTCTGTGAGTCTATTCTATTTTGCTTACATTTTTAATGTGATATGCACTATTCAATGTATATTTGCCTCCAGTTCAGTTCAGTTCAGTTCAGTCACTCAGTTGTGTCTGACTCTTTGAGGCCCATGAACCGCAGCATACCAGGCCTCCCTGTCCATCACAAACTCCTGGAGTCCACCCAAACCCATGTCCGTCGAGTCGGTGATGCCATCCAGCCATCTCATTCTCTGTCATCCCCTTCTCCTCCTGCCTTCGATCCTTCCTAGCATTAGGGTCTTTTCCAATGAGTCAGCTCTTCACATCAGGTGGCCAAAGTATTGGAGTTTCAGCTTCAGCATCAGTCCTTCCAATGAACACCCAGGACTGATCTCCTTTAGGATGGACTGGTTGGATCTCCTTGCAGTTCAAGGGACTCTCAAGAGTCTTCTCCAACACCACAGTTCAAAAGCATCAATATTTCGGCACTCAGCTTTCTTCACAGTCCAACTCTCACATCCATACATGACCAGTGGAAAAACCATAGCCTTGACTAGATGGACCTTTGTTGGCAAAATAATGTCTCTGCTTTTTAATATGCTATCTAGTTTATTCATAACTGTCCTTCCAAGGAGTAAGCGTCTTTTAATTTCATGGCTGCAATCACCATCTGCAGTGATTTTGGAGCCCCCAAAAATAAAGTCTGACACTGTTTCCACTGTTTCCCCATCTATTTCCCATGAAGTGATGGGACCAGATGCCATGATCTTAGTTTTCTGAATGTTGAGCTTTAAGCCAACTTTTTCACTCTCCTCTTTCACTTTCATCAAGAGGCTTTTTAGTTCCTCTTCACTTTCTGCCATAAGGGTGGTGTCATCTGCATATCTGAGGTTATTGATATTTCTCCCGGCAATCTTGATTCCAGCTTGTGCTTCTTCCAGCCCAGCGTTTCTCATGATGTACTCTGCATATAAGTTAAATAAGCAGGGTGACAATATACAGCCTTGATGTACTCCTTTTCCTATTTGGAACCAGTCTGTTGTTCCATGTCCAGTTCTAACTGTTGCTTCCTGACCTGCATACAGATTTCTCAAGAGACAGGTCAGGTGGTCTGGTTTTCCCATCTCTTTCAGAATTTTCCACAGTTCGTTGTGATCCACACAGTCAAAGACTTTGGCATAGTCAACAAAGCAGAAATAGATGTTTTTCTGGAACTCTTTTGCTTTTTCTATGATTCAGTGGATGTTGGCAGTTTGATCTCTGGTTCCTCAGCCTTTTCTAAAACTAGCTTGAACATCTGGAAGTTCACGGTTCAAGAGTTATTGGGGATATATACTTGGGGATATATACTATGAAGGAATATATTTCCTTCATAAAATTACCTGTATCTATATTATGCTTATGACCTGGTCAGAAGAATCAGTTAGAATCTAGAAATGATAGACTGTGTGTGTGTGACTGTGTGACTGGCACGCAGAAGACTTGATTGGTGAGTGAATGAGGTGAGGTGTGTAATGATCTCAGCTGTTGATTCTCTGACATACACGGCTGCTCACAAATAGTTCCCGATTCTCCCACCAACACATCCTAGGCGGTGTTAGGCTGAGAAGCGAGGGCTATGTGGCTTAGAATCCTCCTTTTTGCCGTCCGGGCATGTTCCTAATTAAGCCCCTTGGAGCTGGTTTCAGACTGTCAACTTTATATGTTCAAATTATGGCCTTCAAACTGCCTTTAATTTATTCTGACTTTACCCCATTGTTCTTTTTCTCTCTGTTTGAACTAATGGGAAGTAAATAAAGAAATGAGATGAATTACTTAATCTTTCATCTTTTGTTTCTCCACAGAGTGTCACTCTTCTCCTAAATTTTATTCAGCTCTGTATTTCTCCAGTACAGGGAAGAGTTTTAAAAGCAAAAGGAGTTTAAGAATTTTAAGTTCCCTGTTTTTAGTCTTAGCAAAACAATACAGGTCTATTAATTTTAATGTTATTAAATAGTGGTGTTGTAATTTTACAGTTCTCAAAAGAAATTCTTACTCAATCACAGTGGTGGAAGTAATGAAATTATATTACAGAAAATTGGCAAAATAAAATCAAATCACCCATAATCCTGTCACCTTAATTCAACCTTTATTATCTTTTTCATTTATTTCTTTCTACTGTGGCTTCCTGTGTCGATTTTTGCATACCTTTTGTTTTTGCATAACTTTAATCAGAGTGCAATTCCACTGTATATCCTGTTTTGGCACTTAAAATAATTTTATATGGCTGTGTATTCTTAATAACTAACATTTAGAATGCACGCAGAGTGTGTTCTTGTTAATGTGATGTGATTAATCACCCTCCAGGACTGAATACTTAGATTCTTTTCTTTTTTTTCCGTTATAGTCAGTGAGACTACAAGCATTTTTATCAATATAATTTTCTCAGACTTTTAATTATGTGGATTATCTCCTTGTGATTGGTTTTCCAACTGGATAAAAGGGTGAATGTTTTTATGCTGTTTGAATCATATTGCCAAATTATTTCTAAAAGAATTATCATCATTTGCACTAGCAACTGCAAGCGTTTTGCCATACTATTTGCCAATGTTAGATTTTCTTTCTCTCTATATAGTTATGTACTTAAATATGTACTATGTTAAAAATGATATTATTTTGTTCTTTTTATTTCTTTTTCTATAATACTGTAGAGTATTATAATTTCTCCATATATTTGCTTACTAGTTGTAAATTATTTATATCCTTTGGTTATTTCTTTAATGCTCACTTTTCTGTTATAAATCTTAGGAGTTATATGAATGACATTAACACTTTGGTTTTGTTTACTGAAAAATTTTTGTCTTACTTTTAAATCAAAATTTTGTATTCTGTTACTTATCTTTATAAAGGAATATACATGATAGAAGATTGAACACATAAAGCTTTCTTTTTAGCATATAATCTCTTTTGAAATTGAATTTAGTTTTTGATGATCCAAATAATCATGGCATTTTGCATGATGTACTCTGCATATGAGTTAAATAAGCAGGGTGACAATATACAGTCCTGACGTACTCCTTTCCCAATTTGGAACCAGTCTGTTGTTCCATGTCCAGTTCTAACTGTTGTTTTTTGACCTGCATAGAGATTTCCCAGGAGGCAGGTCAGGTGGTCTGGTATTCCCATCTCTAAGAATTTTCCATAGTTTGTTGTGATCCATACAGTCAAAGCCTTTGGCATAGTCAATTAAGCAGACGCAAATATTTCTCTGGAACTCTCGTGCTTTTTCAATGACCCAACTGATGTTGGCAATTTGATCTCTGGTTCCTCTGTCTTTTCTAAGTCTAATTTGAACATCTGGAAGTTCACAGTTATGCACTGCTGAAGCCTGGCTGGGAGAATTCTGAGCATTACTTTGCTAGCATGCGAGATGAGTGCAATTGTGTGGTACCTTGAGCATCCTTTGGCACTACCTTTCTTAGGGATTGGAATGAAAACTGACCTTTTCCAGTCCTGTGGCCACTGCTGAGTTTTCCCAACTTGCTGACATATTGAGTGCAGCACTTTCACAGCATCATCTTTCAGGATTTGAAATAGCTCAACTGGAATTTCAACACCTCCTCTAGCTTTGTTCATAGTGATGCTTCCTAAGGCCCACCTGACTTCACATTCCAGGATGTCTGGCTCTAGGTGAGTGATCACACCATCGTGATTATCTTGGTCATGAGGATCTTTTTTGTATAGTTCTTCTGTGTATTCTTGCCACCTCTTCTTAATATCTTCTGCTTCAGTTAGGTCCATACCATTTCTGTCCTTTGCTGTGCCCATCTTTGTGTGAAATGTTCCCTTGCTGTCTCTAGTTTTCTTGAAGAGATCTCAAACACAGTTCTGTCTCAGTCTCTGGGTGCTGGTACCCACAAGGTTTGTTTGAGTCCTCCAGGTGTCTCTGTTGGGTTTGGGGTTTGATTCGAAACGTGATCTCACCTCTCCTCCTGCCTTGCTTGGGTGTCCAGCAGTAGAACTCTCGCCTGCCACGCGTGGGCCCCGGTCGTCTCCCTGCCCACGCAGCCACAGCGTCCCCTTTGTGAGCTTCCCTCGTGGCTTAGAGGGTAAAGCGTGTGCCTGCAATGCGGGAGACCCGGGTTCGGTCCCTGGGTTGGGAAGGTCTCCTGGAGAAGGAAATGGCAACCCACTCCAGTATTCTTGGATGGAGGAACCCGGTAGGCTACAGTCCATGGGGTCACAAAGAGTCAGACACGANGACGCCTGCTCCTTGGAAGAAAAGCTATGACCAATCTAGACAGCATATTAAAAAACAGAAACACTATTTTGCCAACAAAGGTCCATCTAGTCAAAGCTATGGTTTTTCCAATAGTCATGTATGGATGTGAGAGTTGGACTATAAAGAAAGCTGAGTGCTGAAGAATTGATGCTTTTGAACTGTGGTGTTGGAGAAGACTCTTGAGAGTCCCTTGGACTGCAAGGAGATCCAACCAGTCCATGCTAAGGGAAATCAGTCCTGACTTATTCATCGGAAGGACTGATGTTGAAGCTGAAACTCCAGTACTTTGGCCACGTGCTGCAAAGAACTGACTCATTGGAAAAGACCCTGATGCTGGGAAAGATTGAAGGCAGGAGTAGAAGGGGATGACAGAGGATGAGATGGTTGGATGGCATCACCGACTCCATGGACATGAGTTTGAGTAAGCTCCGGGAGTTGGTGATGGACAGGGAAGCCTGGCGTGCTGGAGTCCATGGGGTCGCAGAGTCAGACACGACTGAGTGACTGAAATGAGCTGAACTGACCCAAATGATACTATGGTATTCTTCACTATATGTATATTTGGTAGCCAAGAATACTTTGGGTAATACAAACACCTGACAATTTTCTAATTTTATAGGAAAAGAGGAGCTAAGATTGTATCCAAGAGAGTTGATGATTTCAAAGAAAAGTTTCAACATAGACTTGGAAGAGTTTTAGATCCGTAAGTTCATGAGTAACTTAAAATTGATAATGTTTTTGGATCAAATTTACAAAGTACTCCTGTCATAAATGTTGCTTTGTGTTCTATTGGAGTCTATCTATTAAATAAGAATCATCCTTTTGTGTTAATCAGGGAACCCTGTTAGCCACCTAACAGCTTGGGGTTCTATTAAAGTACTGAGTCTCCAAAAGGGAGAGGGCATTTGGGAAAGAAAGAGGAAGAATTTTATGTAAAACTTTATTTCAAGGATCTCAGAAATTTAACTTATTGTGTTACATTTTCCTCTCCTCTCTCTCTATAGATAGAGTATGTTTGTATACATGGATACTTCCATAATTCTACTTTGGGACCATGTTCTATTTTTTCTTTTTCCATTTGGGCCTTTTTACTGAAAGCCAGTGAAAGCATTCAGCTGTTGCTAATGTGAGTTGGAGATTAGAGAAAAGATCTGTTGGAGAACTTCTGTTTGATGTTTATAGTTTGGTTATAGGAGAATATATAGGTGATTAAAAATGTATGGAAAACATATTTTAAATTCCAGGGATGCCATGTGGTGGAAATTTTCACTAAAGGAACTTTTTTCTTTGATAGAATTGCGGAAACAATGAATGTTCCCCCAGACCACACATTTGGGGCTTGTCTCCGTCCTGAGGACTACGGTAAATATACAGTTTCTTTTAAAAAAGCAAACAAAGACAAAATCCTGCCCCACCCCCCCAATTATGCAGTGAAGTTCACCATCTCCTTTTCTCAAAGCTTCCAATTTTAAAGGCTTAAAATATTATGTTAACATTGATGAGAACAATTTGTAGCACAAGAAAGAAGCAACATTTTCATATTATATTTGAAACAGGTACAGTTTAAAGCTCTGGTAATGAATTCCTTAAGTGTAGTTAAGGCTTAGAATTTTATTTAGAATATAAATAAGGCCTATATTAAACAAGCAAAAGTGAACTGAAGCAACTTTTTAATGATTTCAAATATTGTACCGGGTCCTTGCACTCAAAATGTGGTTGCAGACAGGCAGTATTGGTGACCCTGCAAGGCTCTTAGAGAAGCAGACTCTTGGGTTCTACCCTCAGACCTCCTGAATCAGATACGGCATTTTCACAACATTCCCAGATGAATCGTAGGGGCATTCAGCTTCCAGAAAGCACTGTGCAACCATACACTGAAGAACCACTCTTCCCACCAGTCGATGAATGAACCAATCTATGAAGTTAGCGGAAGAAACTTACCAGGATCTTGTCTTTGATGCTAAGTGATCAAGTAGCAACCTTCCCCAGGGAAAACTATTTGAAAGCTTATTAGGATTGAGCTGTGTATTAGTGGTTTTCAAAATATAGTCTGCAGTCTACCTGCATTCTAATCACCCATAGAATTATAGAGTTTATTAAATATGGGTTCCGGGACCCATGCCCAGATAATTCTGATTCAGTAGGCTCCCATGTACACTAAATTTTAGAAACCTCCCAGGTGGCCTTAGTGGTGAAGAACCCATGTGCCAGTTCAGGAGACGGAAGAGACATGGGTTTGATCCCTGGAGGAGGGCATGGCAATCCACTCCAGTACTCTTGCGTGGAGGATCCCATGGACAGAGGAGCCTGGCGGGCTATGCAGCCCATAGCGTGGCAAAGAATCAGACACAACTGAAATGACTTAGAACACACATTGAAAGGGTGTTAGCTAAAGTCTACTCACTAACAAATAAAATACTTATTTGCTAATGCAACATGATGTTCTAGAGCATTGTGAGTCACCACGTTAGGAGATCATACTTTTGTTTTAGATCAACTGTTATGTGTTTAATGGATGTCTGCCCATCTCAGAGGCTCTTCATACTCCTCNAAAATGGATTAATTTCCGCTGTATAGCACAGTGATACAAAGATGTGTATGTGTTTAAATATGTGTTTAAAATTCTCCATTATGGTTTATCATAGGGTATTGATTATACTTCCCCGTGCTGTATAGTAGGACCTTGTTGTTTGTCCATCCTATATATAATAGTTTGCATCTGCCAATCCCAATCCATCCCTCCCCACCTCCCCCTTGGGCAACTGCCAGTCTGTTCTCTATGTTTGTGATTCTGTTTCATGGTTAGATTCTTTTGTGTCATATTTTAGACTCCTCATACATATGATATCAGGTGGGGTTTGTCTTTCTTCTTCTGACTTACTTCACTTAGTATGATAATCTCTGGTTGCATCCATCAGTGTTGCAATTTAAATTAACCTACTCAGGCTATCACAGCCAGTTGCCAGTAAAAGCAGGAAGGGTGGGGTAAAGAACAGAGGGAGAGGTTTCTTCTGGTGACATCCACCAAACTCTCACATCTGAAGCACCATGGTCACCTCTGGTCTGATCTCTGTCACCATAAACATCCAAGGAATGAGGTCTAGAGGCAGTGTGCATATACTTTGTGTCATAATTGAACAAAGTTCCTTTAAGTCATGAAAGAAAAGTGAAAGCAAGGGTGAGGTCTGGGGGGCTGCCGCTGGTGGATTGGAGGGTTTGTTACTGGGGTGTGGGTCAGGACTCAGTTAATGGACTGTGAATGGAGGCAGGTCTCCCATGCTGGTCACAGTATAAGGGAAGCAGGACAGAGAAATGGAGACTTGATGTGCAGAGTGAAGGCAGAATGGAAACTCACACTAGGAAGGAATGGGGAACTCGTGTCCAGTTTCTTCAAGGTTTCCCAGAGGTCTAGTGGCCCTAAGGCACACAGAGTGACCCCCCCATGGAATCAGCCCCAGCTTTCAGGTCCTCGGCCTTGTAGACAAATGTCTGCTAAGACAAATGTCTGCCTGTCTCTTTAGACAGGCAACAGCCTTACTGTCTTAGGAGAGGATTTGATAGCTGAGTGGGCTCATGATTCTCTCATAAAATTCATTTATTCAGACTTTTTTCATTGAACGGAGAAGTGGCATATAGCAGAAGTATTCATTTTCATCAATTACTGTGTATTTTTTTCTTATGTACAAAAGGGTTTTCTGTCATGCTGCTTAATAGTCTTGGCATTAGGTTTTTTCATTCACAGAAGTTGCTAGGTCTCTCTCTCTTTTAGGATGTGAATAATAGTGACAGACTTTAAATTCAGATAAACGACTTTTCTTTCCCTCTTCAATAGGAGTTGGTGATCTCATCCACAGAAGGCTTCCAGGGGAGTATCTCCGAGGCAAGGACAGACAGCGAGCCCTGGTATCGGCAGTGCGGCATCACTTGAAGAAAGTTAACTACCAAAACTTTGACACTCTGCTGGCAGCCTTCAGGCACTATGACAAGGCCAGTAGTGAAGGGGAGGTTTTTGGTCTATTCATGGGCTTACAGGTCCAGCGAGCTGGTGTAGATCAGGATCAAATTTGCCGTACACCAGAAACTAAGACAACATCATAAATCAACTATTTACATGGGTGTGTAAAACTGTTTACTAAAACAGGTGGTGGTGGACTGGATTTGATCCTGGCTTTCTTGGTGGCTCAGATGGCAGAGAATCTGCCTGCAGTGTGGGAGACCCAGGTTTGATCCCTAGTCAGGAAGATCCCCTGGAGAAAGGAATGGCCTCCCACTTCAGTATTTTTGCTGGGAGAATTCTATGGACAGAGGAGACTGGTGGACTACAGTCCATGAGTTTGCAAAGAGTTGGACACGACTGAGTAACTAACATACACACACACACACACACACATAAATATTTATAGAACATAGTTCCCTGTGCTGTACAATAAGTCCTTGTTGTTTATCTACTTTCTATGTAGTAGTTTGTTAATCCTAAACTCCTAATTTCTCCCTCCCCCACCTCCTCTCCCCTTTGGTAGCCATGAGTGTGTTCTCTTTGTCTGTGAGTCTGTTTCTGTTTGGTGGATAAGCTCATTTGTGTTGTATTTTAATTCCACACATAAGTGATATCATATTGTATTTGTCTTTCTCTGCCTGACTTACTTTAGTTAGTATAATCATCTCTAGGTCCATCCATGTTGCTGCAAATGGCACTATGCCATTCTTTTCTTTATGGCTGAGTGGTATTGCGTCGAATATGTGCACCACATCTTCTTTATCCATTCCTCTGTTGATGGGCGTTTAGGTCATTTCCAGGTCCTGGCTGTTGTAAATAGTGCTGTAGTGAACACCGGGGTACATGTTCCTTTTTGAATTAGCGTTTTCTCTGGTATATGCCCAGGAATGGGATTGCTAGAGTACATGCATGCGCCCATGGATTTTAAGTGTCGTCTGTGGCTGATTGTGCAATCACACACGCAGAGCAGTGCGTCAGAAACTGAACGGACTTTCTGGCCCTCGTCAGAAAAGTTTGCTGACCCCTGGGATTGATCTGTGTTGTCAAAATACGGTTGTTTAACCACCAGCATTGTTCCTTGGGGATATATTAGAAATGCACTTTTTAAGGCCCACCTCACACCTACTGAATTAGGAATTTGGGATTGGGGTCTAGCGATTGTGTTCTAACAATCCTCAGTGATTCTGCTGTGTGTTCAGGTTTAAGAACCACTCTTACAGATCATTAAACTGGAGTGTGCTGGGAACCTGGGGGATGGACAGTCTCTGCCTCACTCTGAACTTACACACATGGTACTGTCAGTCTGGTCTAAGTCAAGCTTAGAACTCTTCTCCCCATGGGGGAGCAAGTGTGGTTTCAGTTTTTGAGAGAGCAAGGTCATTCCATTTTCAAGCTACTATAAACATTTTATGCTTTGATCAAATCAGATCAATGTGGGGCTGTGTAATTACCTGACATCATTTTAGGCCATTGCAGGATTTACCAAGCTGCACTGCCTTTGGCTTGCACTTAGGAGTCCTACTACACAAATGTGAAATGTGGCAGACTTTTTATTAGTACGCTCATGCAGCTGTTATTTTCGTCACATACATCCTCCTTATAAGGAAACCCAGTCTTTTTTTTTTTTGAAACCCAGTCTTTCTAGAAAGACTAATAATAAAGACAAATAACCGTGCTTTGTCTAAATATCTGGTTCGTTCTTACCTCTTGTGCAGCATGAATTTTGTACCGATCGTACATAACTTTTTGACTTGGCCACCAGCAAGTGTACAGCCAACCCAGGGAAACATGTCTAGTTTGTGAACATGGTCTGACAGCATACATTCTGTATGCTCTTTTTGCTTCAGGTTTCATCTTATTTCATTCCAACTTCATTTTTCTCTTTGCCCTGATTTCCTCACTTTTTTTTTTTTTGGCTCTCTTTATACTTATTTTTCTAGGCAGCCTCAAAACCATTTTAGAATGAGTCTAAAACAGACAAATAAAAGCTCATAAAGAAACCTGTGATGATGTAACACATCATCTTGACAGAAGAAAAGAAAGAACAGAATGATTTTAGTTTATCTCAAAGGGAAAAGATGATATTCTTATCTCCCTTCTGATGTTGAGTACAGTTTTAGACAAGTGACACTTCACACTTTTTATCTTATAAAAAAATCTTGATCCCTCATTGGCTAATTCATTTTAAGCTTGTTCATTTTATTTTAGATTAGGGGGTCTGTATGTCTGTGATGTACTGATGAATAAAACATGGGTTAAATATCTCATCTAAGTTTATACTAATTATGTTGGGACAAATGCCAGTCATCAACAACATTTCTCACAAAGTTGTGTTTATTTAAAAAAATTTTTTTTCATTTATTTTTATTAGTTGGAGGCTAATTTCTTTACAATATTGTAGTGGTTTTTGCTATACATTGACATGAATCAGCCATGGATTTACATGTGTTCCTCATCCCGATCCCCCCTCCCACCTCCCTCCCCATCCCATCCCTCTGGGTCTTCCCAGTGCACCAGCCCTTAAAGTTGTGTTTAAAGAAAGTATTCAACTGTTTCTCTGATTTTTAATAAAGTCTGATTGCTATTTACAGGTAACTTGAAAAGTATTCTTTAGAATTAAATACATAAGTGAAAACAAGTATTTTATATTTTATTTATTTTTAATTTTTATTGAAGTATAGTTGTTTTACAATATTGTGTTAGTTTCTGCTCTATAGCAAAGTGAATCAGCTATTAATATAATATGTGTATATATATCCCTTCTTTTTTGGATTTCTTTCCCATTTAGGTCGCCGCAAAGCACTGAGGAGAGTTCCCTGTGCTGTACAGTAGGTTCTCATTAGTTATCTATTTTATCCATGGTCTCAATAGTGTAAATGTGTCAGTCTTAATCTCCCAATTCATCCCCCCCTTCCCCTCTTGGTATTGATACGTTTGTCCTCTGTGTCTATATGTCTGCTTTGCAGATAAGTTCATCTGCACCATTTTTGTAGATTTCACATAAAAGCAACATTATAGAGTATTTGTTTTTCTCTTTCTGACTTACTTCGCTCTGTATGACATCTCTAGGTCCATCCACATCTTTGCAAATGGCACTGTTTCATTTCTGAACAAGTATATTTTCAAATTCATTCAATTCTGAGTATCTACAGAGATGACACTGGAGAAATTCACACGGTAGTGATGTGACTAAGGAGACTAGCAGGATGCACAGTGCTCTCCTTTCCGAAAATTCTTCATTTCAGATGTAATTATAGGCAAGACGATCATCTTAATAGCTGTTGATTATCTTAGTGAACCACCAGGCACATTCCTTACGATAAAATTAAATTAAGCAGGGAGAAAATTACTGAGAATTATTTAATGCTGATACACCTTTTAGATAGTTAACTTAATACGTACAGCATGGCGCTCAGGGTCCTTGAGGAGCTTTTTCTGCGAGGACAATAAGATGGGGGTCTTCCTGGCACAGCTCTAGGATGGTTTTTGATGCTTTGAATCTTACACTGTTGAGTGCCCAGATTTGATTTAACTGAAAAGCAAAACAAAACAGAACAAATAAACTGTGATTTCCTAAATGAATCTTCTTGGCTTAGAGGATTAATTCTGTTATTTGCTGAACACTCATAGTGCATCAAATATGATTCCAGATAATGTGCAGCCTTTTTACTCAGGGAATGTAAAATCTAGAAGGGATAAAAAAGAAAAAGACTCATCATGTCCAAGAATGGTCACAGCAGCATCTTAGATTTTCAAAATTCGTATGTGTAATTCCAACTCCTTTTATTCTAATTATTATCCAGGAAGTAGCTGAGGTGGGAAGATTCCTTTTAGGGGACAGTTCCGTCAGTGGCAACACTGGTTTACTCAGATGCGTGAGCCAGGAGCTGGGGAGGAAAGCTCAGTAGCCAGGCGGCTGTGGGTGCCCGGGGCAGGGAGGGCGCGTTGAGGGCCTGGACTGACAGCTCATTGCTGAGAAGCCTCTGTGCTGTAAGTCGTGCCTCCGCCAGGCTGAGTGCATGACTCAGATGCACTCCAAGGCCACGCTTCTGTGACTGGAGCCGGCTCACTGGCCTGAGCTCGAGACTCCGTAACTTGAAGACGTGTCAGCAGCGACAGGCGCCGCCAGCAGCTCTGGGAGGGGACACAGGTTCACGTCGTCAGTGTGGCCGGAGTGTGGGGCAATGCCTCGTGCGTGGTGAGTCTCTCACCGCAAGACAAACGGCTTGGCTGGAGGCAGGAGTCGCGAGTTCGGCCTGTGGTGGAGCCTCTGCTCAGGCCAGTGGCTTTTCTTGGCGCCTGGTCTGATGGTAACTGTACCGCCATGTCTGGTGCAAGGACGGATCCCCGCAGTGACGGTGGCCCCCTGGGTCGTTCAGGCTCCCTCTGAAGCTTTATCCCAGCCATCCTTATTGGAGGATGGACCCTTATCATGGGCAGCTGTATGAATTACTTGGATGGTTCACTCAGCAGCTGTGATTTGTTTCCAGGGTTTTCTTTTTTAAAAACTTTTATTGGAGTAGAGTTATTTATAATGTCTTAGTTTCAGGTGTCCAGCAAAGTGAATCAGTCATACATACACACATGTCCACTTGTTTTTAGATTCTTTTCCACATAGACCATTTCAGAGGACTGAGTAGAGTTCCCTGTGCTATACAGTAGGTCTTTATTAGTTATCTATTTTATATTTGTTGTTAACTGCGGTTCGATCCCTGGGTCGGGAAGGCCCCTGGAGGAGGGCATGGCAACCCCCTCCAGTGTTCTTGCCTGGAGAATCCCGTGGACAGTGGAGCCTGGTGGGCTGCAGTCCACAGGGTCACAATGAGTCAGACACGACAGAAGTGACTTAGCACACGCAGAGTGTGTACATGGCATTCTCAGTCCCCAGCTTGTCGCTGTGCCTGCATCCCCTGGTAACCATGTTTGCTTTCTACATCCATGACTCGACTTCTGCTTTGTAAATGAGTTCATTTGGACCTCCTGAATAAGTGATGTCCTATGATATTTGTCTTTCTGTGTCTGATTCACTTCACTCAGCATGACAGTCTCTAGGTCCATCCCTGTTGCTGCAAATATAGCATTTTTTGCTCTTTTTTGTTGCTGAGTAATATTCCACCAAATATATGTACCATATTTTTGTCCTTCATAGCTCTCACTGAGGTTGAAAGCCACAGCAGACCAGTGAGGACCCTGGGTTTCAAGTTCGTGAAACCGATATTCATGGAGACTTGCTGTTCAAAGGGGCCACGAGGCTTGTGAGGCCCCAAAGGTCCTAGCTTGTCTCCATGTGGCTTCTGGTCAGAAGTGCCGGAATATTCCCCAGGCGGGTATGGAGAGCAGCAACGCAGTTACATGTCCAGCAGTGGAAGCCACGGGAATAATCCACCGTGAACCTTCCTTCTCTCCTGTGAACAAACCCTGCCCGAGCCCCACCAGCGGCTTCCTGACGTCTCTGCTGGTCACAGCCCGGGTGGGATGGCGGCGTTGGCCCCCACAGCCTATGAAGCCAGAGCCGTTGGACTCCCTGCTTCCCGAAGGTGCACGGATACCTGCGGCCTGTAGGCGCCCTGGGGACGAGGGGACTTGGGCTGGCGCCTAGTCAACGTCGTCCTTACAACAGCTGGGTTTTGTGTGCGGGGGAGGGAGAAATAAAGGATGCAGAGGCAGAAGTGGCTCTGTCCCTGGTGAGTAAGAAGCATTTATTTTCATTATTGCCACCATCTGTTTTAGTTTGGGGGACCCTTGATTCAACAGCCATCCCCCTCGTCCCCTATTGCTTTTCTGTTAGGACTGTGGGGTCTGCATTTTTTGTTGACTTGGGCACGCAGCAGAGAATTTCATAAAGCAGTCTGCTTTATCCAGGACATTGCAGCTCCCTGCCAAGATAATATATTTTACATTCTAATTCTGTTTCAACAGGAGGGTTAGGAACGTTCTCCAGGCCTGTGGGTCTGGCTGCAGGAATTTATCTAGAATTCATCTGGAATTCATAGGTCAGTTTCTCATTTTCCAAGGGATTGCCTTTGTCAGTGTTGTGACTCCAACTCTGGGCCTAGGAGCTGAATACTAGCCAGTGAGCCATTCATGGTTTCCCTTGGGAGTTTATCTGTCTCAGGGAAGTCTCTCTAGAGGGCAAAGCTCCTTTGTGGCAGCTGGCGGGGAGGCTTGGCCCTTTCACAGTCAGCTTGGGTGGATTTAAGGTGGGCTTGACAGGCTGCCACAGGGCTGAGTGGCAAGACGTCTGCTTTGGCCATTCCTCCTTAACAAGCATTCTGTGCTCCAGGTCCTCACCCCTCCAAGTGAATCAGCCAGTTCTGTCCACAGCCTTTCTAAATTTCCCTTTCCTGCTTTGCAGCTCGTCTTAAGTGCTTCTGTCTTTAACTGTTGCCTGAAATGTTGGAAACTTCCCCTCTTGCTCAGAGGAGTGTTAATAGCTAGAGTGCAGCGGGATCTTAGATCCTTGACCAGGAGTTGAACCCATATTCCCTTCAGAGGGAGAAGCGTGGAGTCTTAACTGCTCACTGTACTGCCAGGGAGTTCCCCAGAGGCAGCTGTCTTTGAACCCACCTCTCTGTGCTCGGCCTGCAGCCACTTCCCACTTTCTCCTCTTTATCAGGCAGTGGCGTGGAGGACCATGGGCTGCCCAGTTGGAACACCAGAGGTGTTCAAAGCTTTGGAAGCATGGAAAGTTGTAGGAAGTTGTGGGAAGTATATATGCAATGCTGGTCAAATGAAATGTCTAGCATGGATCATAGCTCATGCTACACCAGCGTGTAGGCAGTATGATTTAAAGACAAAGATACTAAAGCGAGCAAAGTGTTGAAATTACTGGGTACGTTGATGGACACAATGAGGACCAATCTCGCTTAAAGTTTGACTCTTCTTACATGAAAAATAAGACAGATTCTTGGAATTTATGTGACAGACTTTTTTTTTTTTCTCAAGGGAAATAACAGATGTTGCCCATTCTGCTCTTGAAGACAATGCTCATGTCACATTTTCTTGCTTTGTGTCTAACAGAAGGGAGATGGGGTGATAGACAAAGCTGAGCTTCAGGAGGCGTGTGACCAGGCCAGCTTGCACTTAGACGAGAAGCTCCTGGACCAGCTATTTGAATACTGTGATGTGGATAATGATGGGCTGATTAACTACCTCGAATTTGCGAATTTTCTTACCTGGAAAGATAAAACCCCCCTTAAAGAATATGAAGAGAGGGTCCTCATTAAAGGTAATTAATTTTTGAAGGTTTGCTAACTTCTTAAATGTACTTTCATGTTTTCTTTGTCCTGGGAGTTCAACTCTTGTCATCTTTAATATCATGTATTTAGAAATATGCACATATATACATATTTATTTTCTTTTTCATGCATAGAATATCTGTGGAAGAACAGGAAAGAATTTGATATTTATTATTTCTGGGGAGGTGAGGTAGGGATAGGTTGCTAAGGGACAGTCTATGTTTTGGTATCTCTTGAGTTTGGAACGATATATTACTTACTCAAAACAGGTATGAGCAAAGCAATTTACACAGAAGCCCAAAATATGAAAGAGAGTTCCTAAGAAAGATGTTTGAAAACCATATTCTTAGAGAAATTAGCTTCTCTTCCCTGGAAAAGTCAATTGTAAAATAGAACTTGATCTTTTACATTTTTTAAGAAAAGGACAACCATAATCTTGACTTTATTCAAATATTTTCATGTTTACACATTATCTTCCTGTGTCACTAACCACATATAGCTATACATATATACATATGTAGAAATACATGTGTGCATGTGTGTATAGAAATACTTTAAAATAGTTAAAATCACAGTGAATGTACCATTTTTATTTGGCTTAAAAAAAACTTAGGTCTCAAATTTCTATGGAACGAAGAGATACTTTCACGATTTCTGTAAACTTCATTTTCAGTTCCTTCACACTGATGTATTGTAAATTACTAAACCATTTCCTCACTCTTTAGAACTTAGGTTATTTCCAGATATTTCAAGAGTAATATGAGTGACTGTCTAACGATTACCATCTTTCAGAAAGCTTTCTGTTTCTAATTATATCTCATTTCTTTTTTTTTAATATCTCATTTCTTAAGAATGTCATTTTTGTTCCAGAAGTAACTGTTTTCATTTTGCCTTTTTCAATGATTGTACCAATTTGCAGTTTTATCAGTCAAGACTGTGAGAAGGTTTTACTCCAATCTAGTTACCATTGAGTGTTATTTCAAACATTCTGGTAATTTAGTTGTTATATAATGATACCTCATTTGCTTTAATTTTCAAGTCTGGATTATTAGAGATGATTATCTTTTAAAAGGTTGTTTGCATTTTTATCTCCTCTTGGAATATCTCTCCCTTTAAAAAGTTTTCACTTTTATTCCTGCAAAACCAATGCCACATTTTGGGCTTTATTGAGGATGGGCGCCCTTACAAGTTTCTGGGACAGCTTTTCTACTCTATCCACTAGAAGGAGAGCAGGAAGATCTTTTTTTTACCTAATGAAGCTTCTTATAGAAAACAGCTCTACCCTAATCCTCTCAGAAATAAGCAGAGGGTGACAGTATTCTTCTTGGCACAGCTCATGAAGTAGTACGGAAACCAGAAGCCTGTTTTCAAACCAGATGGTTCTTCAAATTGTTCCTGGTTTTGCGGTCCTGACTTCAGCAGCCCTTTTCAGTTTTGGGGTTTTTCCTCTTTCCTTTTCTTCTAAGGTGGGTCAGTCAGCAGGGGCTTAGGAATGGTCTGTCCCAGTGTTGTCGGCTAGAGAAAAGGGGCTGCGTTCTTCAAGGAGCTGGCTTTCTGGAAGTTTTCTAAAACCTTTTTCACCCTTGTTCCGGATTTCTGCCTTTAGGAGGAGGGGCGCGCGGAGTGTTTGTAACTCCAAAGACATCTTCTCTTACCTTCCCCAGGGCATAGCCCTAGGAACAGCTCTGGTAATCCTGTATTCAAGTCACATGTGAAAATGAGCTCCAATTTTAAAAGAGAAGAAGGAAAAAGCAAGTTTTCTGTTTTCTTTTGGTGTTTCAGGCTGAAAAGCTTTATTCTAGAGTGAAGTGAGCAGAGTGGTGACTAGAAATAGTAGACGTTGTTCCCATTTCCTGATGTATGAACTTGGGCTTCCGCAGCGAGTTTTGGTGTCAGTGACGTGTCTGCACCAGCTCAGGCTCCCGTTCCACCAGCAAGAAGAGACCAGCTGCGAAAACTCACCTTGCTACAGGGCGAGCTCTGGGTTGTAACTTTGTCCTGTACTACCCCCAACCCCTCCCGTTTCCCTCTTTGTTTGAAGGTAGAAAACCGGATTGTGCAAACCCTGATGAGGCTAATGTAGAAGAATCTGAACCAGCTCTCCTGTTAAAGCCTGAAGATATTGTCTTAAAAGAACCAGGGAGCTCAGAAAAGACTCTGCGGACACTTCTGAGGCCAAGCGATAAAGTTTCTAATCACTACAAGACGACTTCTTCCGAGATCAGTGCGGTTGTAGGCGCTGTTCCTTCTACTTGTAAGTTTGTCACCTTATATGCTGAGCTTTGAAAGGAGCAGCAAACGCAGAAGGGGAGTGCCCTTGTATTGTACCCAGCCTCCATTAGACCCTTAGCGTTCTCAAAGCCTAGGACCTTTTGTTCAACCTTGTGTTCTGAGCGGCCAGGGGGGCTTACTTGATAGAGGCTGAATTGAGCTAGTGTTCATGGTGACCCAAGTAAAAGGATTCTCTGTGTGTTAATGAAATTGAAACCACTATAGCTCAGAACCCCGAATGTTAGATATTGTCATAATTCAGAATTCACCAAGTGGTAGGAGACTCCTTTTGGCTGCACCATGAAGCATTTGGGATCTTAGTTTCCCGACTAGGGATCAAACTGATGCCCCCTGCATTGAGAGCCTGGAGTTTTAACCCCTGGACCACCAGGGAAGTCCCAAGTGGTAGGAGACTTAAATCAAGTGATTCTTAGCTAGAAACAGATTTTCCCTCAAATATTTGAGGAGCTGTTAGAGAAGAGCTCCTTCAGTTTCATTCTCCATCTGTTAGTCTGCTAGAGCTGTCGCAACAAATACCACAAACTGAATGGTTAAACAGCGGAAATTGATCATCTCTTTTTTGGATTTCCTTCCTATTTAGGTCACCACTCAGATTCACTTTGCTGTTGCAGTAGAAACTAACAGAGCGTTGTAAAGCAACTGTATTGCAATAAAAACTAAAACAAATAAAATTTGAAAAAAAGAAATTGATGATTCCACAATGGCTGGAAGTCTGAGATCAGGGTGTTGGCAGGCTGGCTTCCTTCTGAGGCTGTGAGGGGGACTTTTCCCCAGGCCCATCCTGGCTTCTGGGTGTTTGTTGGCAGTCTTTGGTGCTGCCTGCTTTCTGCTGCATCAGCCCGATCTCTGCCTTCATCTTCATGTGGTTTTCTCCCATGTGAGTGTTCATGCCCCCGTGTCCCCTATTTATAAGAACTCCAGGCGTATTGGACTGAGGGTCCATCCTTCTCCAGTATGACGACATTTTAATTATTCCTGCAATGACCCTATTTCCAAATAAGTCCACCTCTTGAGGTACTAGGGTTAGGACTTTAACATAAAGAGTCTGGGGACGATACAATTCAACTCATAGACCCCAAAATCTCAGTACCAATCATGAGGAATGCTCGTTATTTAGAAAGGCTCTTTTATGTTGGTCAAGATCCCTTTTTTTGGAGTAAGGCCATGATTAAGGATTTACATGTTTTTCTTTACTGGATTTCATAGACACACTTAATATTCTGTTGTGATGAGATCTTGCTGTTCTCTGTGGAATAGTCCTGTCCAACAGAAATACAGTCGTTGTCATATGTATTTAACATTTTTTTAGTAGTCACGTTAAGAAGAAGAAACAAGTGCAATTAACTTGAATAGTATATTGGGAATTCCCTGGCAGTCCAGTGGCTAGGACTCTGTGCTTTCACAGCTGTGGCCCAGATTCAATACCTGGTTAGGGAACTAAGATCCTGAGAGCCACATGGGGCAGCCAAAAGTTTTCTTTTAAATAGTACATATTTGTACTATTGTATGTATATATAATACACAATATGCATCTCCAAAGCATTGTCATCTCAACAAGGAATCAATATAAGATGACTCATTAAATGTTTCACATTCTTTCTTTGGGTACTAACTAAATCTTTGAAATTGTGTATACCACACTCACAGCACATCTCAGTTTGGAGTGGCCACATTTCTGGTGCTCAGTGGCCCTGTGGCTGGCAGCTGCTATATTTAGAATGTCTGTTTTCCCCCTTGATTGATGTCCTAGGTTACCCCATGTGTGGTGTTCCAACCATTCGGTCCGATATTCCTGCCCCCCAAATTCGCCGAGTCAGTGACAGGACCAGTTACGGTGAGGAGGGAAATGCCTACTCGCTGCTGCATCCTACCATCTTTGCCCAGAAAGGGGTGTTTGAAAGGGACTTCTTCAAGACCAGATCCAAACAAGAGGTACCGCATGGGATCTCAAAAGTGTTGAAAGAAAGGCCAACTTCACATTGGCACACAAAGATGGAAAGGTTTATTTACTTGAGCTCTTACATTACAGAAGTCATCAGGAGCCCCTCAAATTAGGATTCCCGAGGATCATGTGCAATTTGGTTGTGATATTTGGTACAATTCTTCAAGTAGAGCTTACTCTGATAAGAGGCATTTCACTCATGTCATATATTCACCATGACCTATGTCTAAAAAGAAAAATGTTTTCCTAACATTCAACACTCTTCTTTGCTGAGTAAAAGCAAAGAGGCTCAGGACTTCCCTGGTGGCCCAGTGGTTAAGAATCCGCCCGCCAATGCAGGGGACATGGGTTCGGTCCCTGGTGGGGAGAGTCCACATGCCAGGAGGCATCTAAGCCCGCACACTGCAGCTACCGCCTGTGCTCTGGAGCCCACGCTCCGTGACGAGAGAAGCCCCTGCAGTCAGAAGCCCCCACCGCGACTGGAGAGAAGACCTGCTCACCACACCTGGAGAAAGCCCGCATGCAGCAGCAAAGACCCAGCACAGCTGAAGATAATGTTTTTATAAAAGCAAACATGCTCAGTTCCTTCCTTGTGTGAGTCTCCCTGTGGTCATCCCCAAAACCACAGAGTACGTGTTAGGAGGGCCCCTCTGCCTTCTCCGTGAGCTGTTAGCTCAGGTGATGGCAGCAAGCCCTGATGTAAAATGTTCTGCCCTGTTTTCATGTGTCAGCCCCACACGTGTCTCGTTTTTTCACTTGGAAAACTCGGTCGTCACACCCTAGGTGATTTTCTTCCTATGTTGTGTTTCAAGCAGGTGCAACCGGCTAGGCCAGAATAGCCGCTGGGGTTCTGAGGGCTGAGAAGAAATAGTAGGTCTGGGTCAGAGCAGCCTGTCTGAATCTGCCATTGTGGAAGGCAAGTTGTGATCTAGGGAGCAACTCTTTCTTTGAACTCTCAGATCCAGAGCTGGGAATGATGTGAACAGACCTAGGATGCTTTCCAGGACTTCAGACGAAGAGTCCCTCACTTACAAACTTGCAGACTTAGTCACAGATTCATTGCAGCGATTCATCCTCACTGCATGGGGGTGGGCAGAAAGACAGAGGACGATGCCTGCTGGCTGGTCCCAAAGAAGGGACCCTCGATCCATCACAGAGCAGGTGGAGAGGAGACACCCCCAGACTGTATTTTTCTCTTCCCTCAGTCACTCCAAAGGGCCTATGAAATAGGCTGGTGGGGCTGATAAAAGAAATTAAAATCTCCTGCTTGTTTCCTGATGCTTAAAATTCTTTTAACTAAAAAAACCCAAAAATTCTTTTAACCAGTAAGTCATTGTTTATCTCATGATTCTGGGTAGAAAGAACCCAGAGGCTTGCACATATAGTATTCCAACCAAATGATACTCTAGAAAAGGCAGAGCCATGGAGACAGGCCAGTGTGCCAGAGGCTTGGCGGGAAGATGGGGATAAATAGCTGTAGCACAGAGGGTCTCTAAGGCCGAGAAACCGTCCTGTGTGATACCGTAACAGTGTGTGCTAAACCGCTTCAGCTGTGTCCCACTCTGCAACTCTATGCACTGCTGTTCGCCAGACTCCTCTGTCCATGGGATTCTCCAAGCAATATCCTGGAGTGGGTTCCCATTCCCTTCTCCAGGGGATCTTCAGGACCCAGGGATCGAACTCTCACCTCTTATGTCTCCTGCATTGGCTGGCGAGTTCTTTACACTACCGCCACCTAATGGTGGATGCACATCATTACACATTTGTCAAAATCCATGGCTTACGCAACACAGAGAGTGAACCTTAACATGAACTGTGGACTTCAGTTAATAATACTGTATCAGTCCTGGCTCATTGCTTGTAACAGATATACTACACTTAATGCAACGTTTCTGGTAGTCCAGTGGTTGAGACTCTGCACTTTCAATGCACCAGGGGTTTGATCTCTGGGAAATAAAATCCCACATGTCCTGTGGCACAGCCAAAAAAAGAAAGAGATATTAAAAGGGGCTTCCCTAGTGTTCCAGTGGTTAAGAATCCACCTGCCAACGCAGGGGACAGGGATTCGATTCCTGGTTCAGGAAGATCCCACATGTGGCGAGCAGCTAAGCCCAAGGGCTACGACTACTGAGCCTGTGCCCGGAGCCTGAGAGCCACGGCCCCTGAGCCTGTGCCCCGGAGCCTCGGCCACGGCTCCTGAGCCTGTGCCCCGGAGCCTCGGCCACAACTACTGAGCCTGTGCCCCGGAGCCCGAGAGCCACGGCTCCTGAGCCTGTGCCCCGGAGCGTCAGAGCCACGGCTCCTGAGCCTGTGCCCCGGAGCGTCAGAGCCACGGCTCCTGAGCCTGTGCCCCGGAGCGTCAGAGCCACGGCTCCTGAGCCTGTGCCCCGGAGCGTCAGAGCCACGGCTCCTGAGCCTGTGCCCCGGAGCGTCAGAGCCACGGCTCCTGAGCCTGTGCCCCGGAGCGTCAGAGCCACGGCTCCTGAGCCTGTGCCCCGGAGCGTCAGAGCCACGGCTCCTGAGCCTGTGCCCCGGAGGCTGGGGCTGCACCTACTGGACTCACGTGTCACAGTTACTGAAGCTCACGCACCCTGCAGCCCGAGCTCCACCACAAGAGAGATCCCCTCGCTGAGAAGCCAGCACACCGCAAGCAGAGAAAGCCCTTGCACAGCGATGAAGACCCAGCACGGCCTCAAACCAACTTTTAAAAAGAATCAGTAATAAGGGAAATGGGGGTGCAAGTGATAGAGCATATGGGAGCTCTCTGTAATTTCTGCTCACTTTTTCTAGAAACCTAAAACTGCTCTAAGAAAAGTTTATTTAAAAAAAAGGACCTCAAGGCCTGGTTGGAGAACATCACCCTGAGAATAGATGTGTGTGCTCAGTCACTCAGCTCAGTCATGTCTGACTCTCTGTGACCCCGTGGACTGTAGCCTGCCAGACTCCTGTGTCCATGGGATTCTCCAAGCAAGAATATTGGAACCGGTTGCCATTTCCTTCTCCAGGGGATCTTCCCGACCCAGGGATCGAACCTGAGTCTGTTGCATCTCCTGCATGGGCAGGCAGATTCTTGACCACTAGCGCCACCTGGGAAGCCCTTAGAATGGATGGGTTTCTGTTTCTGTTCGGTTGTCAGTACACAGGATGGAGTAGAAATGCCTCCCAAGGAGCAGGGGAGGAAGCCCGAGGCCCCCGCCTGGGTGCACTCTGCAGGGACATCCTCTCCCGACGCTGGGTGGGCACAGAGGCTGTGCCGGGCCTCGAGTCGCCTCTGCTGTAGCCGCCGCTGCCGGCAGCCCTGCTCTTCCGAGTCTCGAGGCTGGTCGATTTTACTGCTAGTTTCCCACAAGACACATCACGTCCAGGGGGCCTTCAGTTGCTAGGGTTCCGTTCAGGAGGTGTGCTCGGCAACTGTGCCACTTCTTTGGTTTTCCTGTTCACCGTCTAACCGTTCTTTCCGTTTCCTTCTTTGCTTCCCTCCTGTTGACTTTATATAAATGCTTTTCCTCTTTTGGTTTCATTTCCCCCCCAGATCTTTTCTCCTCTCCACTCATCCTAATGTTTCTTCCCACTACTTGTTCTTCTCTCTCCCTTCTTTATTTTCCCTGGGACATATAAACCATGTTTCTCCCCCTCCCTTCTCTCTTTTACTATTTATCACTGCAGAGAGATGACTAATAAAGTTTGCTGGTTTTCAGCTTACTCAGGTTTTTTGTTTTTTGGCCATGCTCCTTGGCTTGTAGGGTCTTAGTCCGCAGACCAGGGATGGAACCCAGGCCTGAGTCCTAACTACTGGACTGCCAGGGAGTTCCAACGTGCTCAGGTTTGAGTCTGCTCACTTGCTCAAGCTGACACTGTCTCTCTGACATTTGCATACCCACAAGTGTGGTTAAAGTTTACAACAGGACAGTTAGAGATGTTTCATAAATGTTATTTTAAAGAAGAGAAACTAATATGCTAGGGGTTTAGATAACACACATAAAGGGTGGCCGGGATAGAAGTCAAATCTAGCGAGGCTGCCGTCTTCAACTCTTTTACTCTTTCTCCTGGAATTTGGCTGTCTCACCGGGATAGAAGTCAAACCTAGCGAGGCTGCCGTCTTCAACTCTTACTCTTTCTCCTTGAATTTGGCTGTCTCTCTTTATTTAACATTTTTTAAATTTGTTTTTTATTTATCTAATTTTCCCTGTGGATTGAACCCACATCCCCTGCATTGGAAGCTCAGAGTCTTAACCACTGGGATGTCAGAGAAGTCCCTGGCTGCCTCCTTTTAATCATAAACACTTAGAGTCGAAAGGAGCTTTGTGTATTGGCTAGTACAGCTGAACACCCTCATATTCATTCACGTTTACAAAATGATTCCTAAACTGAGAGGCCTGGAATTTTGGTATGTGCTTATTATATGCAATAAGAGCACACACAGACACATATCCACACACACATTCACACACTTTTTAAGGGATAAATGTTCATAGTCTTAGATATTTCAAAGATGTTTTAAAAAATACAGACAAAAATACCCATAAATCTTGGTCTGACTTCAGTGTTTTTTCCCCCCAGATTTCAGAGATATTATGTAACATTGGTGTCAAGCTTTCTGAGGATGAATTTGAAAATGTATGGAATCTTGCATCAAAAAAACACCACAGAGGAGAAGTTTGTGTTGAGAGCATCAGAAATGTTCTGGATGAGTTAAAACATGCAGATCGAACCAAGTGTAAAACGGCCACATGATCTTTGTGGAGTTCATTCATCTAGATTGAAGAATTGCTAAATCTGTGTTCACCTAATATGTTCAGTCCATTCTGGTTTTAGATATTATAATTCAGCAATCACTGTGGTAGGGCTCATATGCCTGGATGCATTGCTAATAAATTCGATTTTGAATTTTAAAGTTTATTTTCTTGTTTCCTATAAAGCACCAAACAACTTGACAAGCACTGGGAGTTAACCTTTAACGCACCCGAGGTGTAGCTCAGAATATATTGGAAGTTTGTCCATGTTTAGTATGCTTAAGAACTCTCAGCATTTTAGTGGGTGGTCTGAGATTCAAAGTCTTGTTTGTGATACCAGGTTCACAAAATTTTGCCCTCAGCATTTTGTTATTTTTCTCTGTAGGCGTCACTATGACACAGCTGAAGCTTGATGGGCTTTTATGTCTCTGTCAGCATCTAAGGAAAACAGATTTAATTACAAGGAGTGGATTCAGGGAGAAAAAACTTGACTTCAGCAAAGACAATGGCTGGTGGCTTTTCACATCTATGTCTAGAAAAGCATATTGTCCTTGAAGTATCTGAAGAGGACACAGCTGACCACAGCGTTAGATATGTAGCTCTAGAGAACTGTTAGTAGCAAACTGCACAGAATCATTCCCTCCCTTATGCCTCATCTATTTTTTCAGTTTTTATTGGTTAATTAGTTTTTGGCGATGCTGGGTCTTCCTCGCTCTGCACGAGCTTTCTCCAGCTGTGATCATGGGCTGCCCTCTAGTTGGGTGCGTGTGGCCTCTGTGCAGTGAGAGGGATCTAGAGTGCACTTGGGGGCTCTGTCGTTGCGGCTGTGGGTCCCAGAGGGCGTGCTCGGGGTGGTGGCCCAGGGGCTTAGCTGCTACTGGTGTATCGAATCTTCCTGGGCCAGGGGTTGAACCCGTGTCCCCTGCACTGGCGCCACCAGAGCTGTTCGCTTTGGCTCTCTGATACGCAGGTGTGATGCGGGAGCCTGGATGAGCTCCAGGTGGGGATGGGTGTGACCCGGGCTGGGTGTGCCCTCTGCGTCAGGTGGGTGGAACCCATGACAGAGGCTTTCTCAGTAATATCACTTGATGAGTTGAATGATCAATAACGTGGTCTGCCTTGACCTGTGTCGCTTGCTGCTTTGTCTGTTAGTCTGAACCCTCACTCTCTAACTCAGACCTTGTGCTCATGCTGTAGTCTGCGGTGCTGTTCCGTTGCTCAGTCACATTGGACTCTTTGCAACCCCACGGACTGTGTGTGCACGCCAGGCTTCCCTGTCCTCCCCTATCTCCTGGAGTTTGCTCAAATTCTTGTCCATTGAGTTGGTGATGCTACCTGACCATCTCATCCTCTGTCACCCTCTTCTCATTCTGCCCTCAATCTTTCCCAGCATCAGGGTCTTTTCCAGTGAGTCAGCTCTTCACACCAGGTGACCGAAGTAGTGGAGCTTCAGCTTCAGCATCAGTCTTTCCAATGCATATTCAGGGTTGGTTTCTTTTACAACTGACTGGTTTGATCTCCTTGCAGTTCAAGGGGCTCTGAAGAGTCTTCTCTAGTTCAAAAGCATCAATTCTTCAGCACTCAGCCTTCTTTATTGTCCAGCTCTCACATCCGTATGTGACTCCTGGAAAACCATAGCTTTGACTATACAGACCTTTGTCAGCAAAGTGATGTCTTTGCTTTTTAACACCCTGTCTACGTTTGTTCATAGCTTTTCTTTCAAGGAGCAATTGTCTTCTAATTTCATGGCTGCAGTCACCATGCGCAGTGATGGTAAGTTACATTTCTTACCTTTGGCTAGAATAAGAAGGTATGAAGAACTGTAACCTCAATCAAGTTTCATGCCTTCATGATTTCTAATTCATTGTTAATGTCTTTTCTGCCTTTTGCTACAGTGACACATTTCCTAAATTGTATTGCATCGGGTATTGAGAGCTGATTTCTTGATTCCCATTTGCAGAGATCATGGTCCCTAGTATGACATACTCTTCACGCCCTTATGCTTCTCTGACTACAAAGTGTTTTATTTTTATTTTTATTTATTTTTTTAAATTTTTTATTTTTTCCATTTATTTTTATTAGTTGGAGGCTAATTACTTTACAACATTGCAGTAGTTTTTGTCATACATTGAAATGAATTAGACATGGATTTACATGTTTTATTTTTTATGTATATTCATTTTTGTCTGTGCTGGGTCTCCATTGCTGAGTGGGGGCTACTCTTTGTCGTGGTGAGCGGGCTTCTTATCGCGGGGGCTTCTCTTGTTGCAGAGCGCAGGCTCTAGGTGCTTGGGCCTCAGTAGTTGCAGCCCCTGGGCCTAGAGTGCAGGCCTCAGTAGTTGCAGCCCCTGGGTCTAGAGTGCAGGCCTCAGTAGTTGCAGGCCTGGGCCTAGAGTGCAGGCCTCAATAGTTGCAGCCCCTGGGCCTAGAGTGCAGGCCTCAGTAGTTGCAGGCCTGGGCCTAGAGTGCAGGCCTCAGTAGTTGCAGGCCTGGGCCTAGAGCACAGGCCTCAGTAGTTGCAGGCCTGGGCCTAGAGTGCAGGCCTCAGTAGTTGCAGCCCCTGGGATCTAGAGTGCAGGCCCGCAACACATGGAATCTTCCTGGAGGAGGGATGAAACCCGGGTCTTCTTCCTTGGCAGGCAGATTCTTTACCACTGAGCCACCGGGGAAGCCCCTGAAAAGTGTTTTAAAGCTTAGCAATTTTGGTTCATCAATCATTCCCCTTCTGAGGAGCAAATTGGGAGCGTTAGACATGATTGGTGTGAATAATAAGTCTGTCATCCACTGCATCTGTGCCTGGGAAAGACAGCTACCTACCCTTACAAAGCTGTCGTGTTCTTACTTACAGAAGGGAAATTCCAAGGGCTTCCCTATCAGCCTGTCAGCTGGTTTCAATGGTTATGCAGGTCTTAGGCACGGTCTTAGCTCAGGAAGTATCATCAAAAGGCCTGCGTTTCGGTTGTAGCTCATCTCATCCACTTGTAAGCAGCCTCTGTTCCCCACCTGTTCACGGACTCCTTATGGCGGCCTCTCGGCTCTGTGTACATCCTCCTGGTTCTTGTTTTCCTTAACTAGGCGTCCATGCTTTACTTTTTGTATTTTTTATTAATTTATTTCTTATTGAAGGATGATTTGATTTTGGCAGATTCAACAATTCCTCTTGGCCTACTGCTCTAGGTAATTCAGAGTACCTATCATGGCCAGTCTATCACTTTTCTATATGCTTTGAGCAGAGTTCCTCATTCTATTTTTTTTTTTTTTAATATGCACATCCACACAATCTGCTGGGATTTTTTTTGTTGTGATCATATTGACTCTAAAGATTAATTGGGGGAACTGACATTTTGATAATGTTGTGACTTCCAAACAATAAATATGATCCATCCATGCATTTATTTAGCTTTTGTTTATTTCAGTAAACACTTTCTAGTTTTCCATTTTTTAAGATTTTTTAATTTTTTATTGAAATTTTCAAGAATTTATAAAAGTAAAAAAATTGTAAAAACCCTATATACCTATTTCGTAGATTAAAATATTTTTAACACTTTGCTAGTTTTATTCCATCTATTCCCCCTATCATTTCATGGTTTTAGTTTTAGTTTTTCATGATAATGTTGTGACTTCCAAACAATAAATACAGTATATCCATGCATTTACTTAGCTTTTCTTTGTCTCAGTAAACAGTTTTTAGTTTTTCATATATATTTTGGGGGGACACACTGTGAAATTGTGGGATCTTAGTTCCCCAACCAGGAATTGAACCCAGACCCTGGCAATGAAAGCAACAAATTCCAACCTTCCATGTTGAGATAGTTCACATCTTCTGTCAGATTTGTTTCTGTATTTTTTGTTTTAATACTGTGATAAATTCGATCAACTTTTAAATAGACTTGTTGACATATATTTACATACATTAAAATCTACTTTTAAAGTATGAGAGTCTAGAGTGTTGGCGAAGGCATGCAGGTGTGTAACCACCATCACAAACAAATCGTAAGAATGTTGTGCCGCTTCCCAGAATTTTGTCACTTTCCCTTCTTACTCTGGCTCCGACAACAGCTCATCTGCTTTCTGTCCTGTAGTTTCACCTTTTTCAAAATGTCCTATCGGTGGAATCATGGAGATTGTAGCTAGCCCTTTGAGACCAGCTTGCTTCACTTAGTAAAATGCTTCTGAGATCCATCCGCGTCGCTGCGTGGATCAGCACTGCATTCTTCTCAGTCCTGAGTGGGTTCCCACTGTGTGAATAGACCACAATTTGTCTATCCATTCACCAGTTAAAGACATGGCTTGAGTTGTTTCCAGTTTTTGGCAAGTCTGAAAAAAGCTGCCATGAATAATCATGTATAGGTTTTTCCCAGAGATAAATTTTCATTTCTCTTCGAGAAATACCTGTGGGTAAGGTTGCTGGGCCATATGGTAAGTACATGTTTAATTTTATGAGAAACTGAAACTCTGTTTTCCAGAATGGCTGTGTCATTGTGTGTTATCACCAGCAGTTTAAGGACTTTTAGTGCATCCTGTAGTGTCAGTTTTTTTCTTTGTAAATTTTAGTCATCCAATTTGGTGCACAGTAATAGCACATTGTGGTTTTAGCTTGCATTTCTGTGATAACTTAATGATATTAAGCATCTTTCATCCTCATTGTTGACACCAATACCTTCTTTGGTGAAGTGTCTATTCTAATATGTTGTCTTTTTTTTTTCTTTAAAAATTGACTTATTTTCTTATTATTAATTTTGAGAGTTTTTAAAATGCATTCTGGATATAAGCTCCTTATCAGCTTTGTGTTTTTATATTTTTAAATTTAAAAAAGAAGTTTTAAATTTTGATGAAGTCCAGTTTTATCAATAATATACTAAAGTTGCCAGCCTTCTTGAATTTGGAGATTACAAATGTAAGGTGAGATCACTTGGTTTTGTGTTTATGTTCAATTAGTTTCTTTATATGTAGGCACTGAACTTCAGATCTGGAGTAAGTGGAGCTCTGGATTTAGCGAGGGTAGGAATTTCACCTGGTGAATAAGATGGTGGGAGAAGAAATGAGCTGAGTGCATGCAAGGATGTGATTGTAGTGACTACCATGGAAACTAAGATGAGTAAAGAGGATGTTCAGAAATGAAAGGGTGGTGAAAAATGGCAGAGTCAATGGATTGGACCAT